CCCTTTTTTCATTCATTAAGTTGGTTTTTAATGTGGTTAGATTTTTAAGAATGACTTCATTAAGTTATGGAGAAGTATACAAGTGGGTAAAAGATGACACTTTGAAGTGTGAATCCATCATTAACTATTGGCGAGAATTTAAATAAAGAACATGTTGTCTCAAGATGGAAATGGGTGTAACTTTACTTATTTTTGTTGTGTCTTACAATGAGCCACTAGTAGAATTGATTAGAAAAATAGTGTTTTTTGTCGAGTTGTTAGGTAAGCTCACTTAACCCGTTGTATTTCCCCTTTTTTCATTCATTAAGTTGGTTTTTAATGTGGTTAGATTTTTAAGAATGACTTCATTAAGTTATGGAGAAGTATACAAGTGGGTAAAAGATGACACTTTGAAGTGTGAATCCATCATTAACTATTGGCGAGAATTTAAATAAAGAACATGTTGTCTCAAGATGGAAATGGGTGTAACTTTATATGTGAGTCATGTGTTGATAATGATCTTGTATGTATAAGGTCAATTTCAAGGAACAAAGCATTCACCTTTTGTTATGAAACCTTAATTGCAAAGTTAAGAGTTAAGTGGCCTTTGATCGAGTGTGAGAAGGGTGTCCATAGGGCCTTAAATGTGGTGTCAATGCAGTTACACCCTAATAATAGTTGGGCTTTCACATGAGGATTTGAGATTTTATGTGGAGGCCTCAATATTATTCCCACTGTTGAAAAACATTTCTACTTTTTGACTCACAAGGTAATAAAAGAAGCAATTGGTTGTTCATTAATGGAGTGTTTGATCGGGCATTCTATCATTGTTTCAATCTTTTTATAAGGATTTTAAAAAATCCTATTTTAGAATACGTTGCCCTTTGGGTAATGAAAGTTTGTTGGGTGAGTTTCCTTTGTATTGGACCCAAAATTCGATTACATATTGGGATTTAAAACTTGAAGAACTTTCAAAATCCGACCAAGCAAAAGTTAAGAAGTTGGAAGAACTCAAAACTATTTTTAGCACCACCAAATTGTTAGACTTAGAAAATAAACCCCAAGAGTTGAAAGAGGAACATGAGGGAGTAACCCCATTGTCGACAAAATCAAGAAACCTACTGGGCCTCCTTATAAATGTCGTTGAGAAGTCGAGAAAAACATGGCGATTTGATGGAAACCTTAGGGAGAGGCAAGCTTGATGTAACTTCTCCTTCAAGTTTATTGGATGAATCTTTCACTTCTTGGACTCCTTCGAGCTCCTTCAATGGCTTTCATTGATGGTAGAAACCATTTCTAACAAACAAGAGAAGATATAATCTCCCTTAGGTGATGTCATACTCTTGAAGAGTGATAAGTCTCTTTAATTTCTCACCACACTCAAAAGAGGATAAGAAAAAAGGAAAAATTTCAAAGAGAGAAACAAGTTTTGAGAGAGAGAATTGAGAGAAAATTTCATGCAATTCCATTAACACTCAGAGAGTTCAACCAATACATGAATATATATATATATATATATATATAGAGAGAGAGAGAGAGAGAGAGAGAGAGAGAAAGAGTTTGGTTGGTTTATGGTATAAGTTAGACTAATCATGGTTAGCTATCTCGTACTTAAGCTAACCAATCCTAGTTAAGTATCTAGAAACTTATAAAATAAGCTAAGTTAATCATAGTTTAGGAATAACCTATGATAGCTTAAGTTAACTCTAACTACCTAACCTAATCATTACAACTACCAAATTAATGATTACTTTTAACAAGTTGTTGAGATGTCACTATCAAGAGCCATGTGACTTATTTAACAACTTAGATGACTAGATTGGCTTGGTTTGGATGTCCAAAACATTTGCATGAGCAAGTGGATATCCAAATCTATGGATCATAAAAAGATTTAGGTAATCCAAGCCCAATAAATTTATCATGACTTTAGCTAGTTACATCTTCCCTAAAATACTATACACCTTTAAAGAAAAACCATACAAGGACAAAAATTCATATACTACTTGAATCAAAACACAAGGTTAAAAATAACCTATGCACAGTATATATAATAAAAAGACTAAGCAACTAGGAGAATGTATACTCTATGCTCATGATAAACAAAGGTTTAAGAAATACATATTCTCTAGTAGCTTCTTCTAACCTCCTAACTATAGACCTTGTCAAAGGTCCTATGATCTTCAAGAATGATTCTCTATCACGATTATTAACCTTGAGACTGCCACAAGAGGGGCCAGTGAGAATGAAGTGGAAGTATAATCTATTGAAAGGACAAAAAGTATGTGTATGGGAGAAACTAGGATCTCGTAGGGTGAGGAATCGAGAAAGGTAAGACTATGTCATTTTGGGATAAGAAGTTTAACCACTCAATTCATATATGAGAAACATACTTCCTTAAGGTGGACAAAGACGATTTGGGGAAGATGAACACCTTCTCTATTGTGAAAGGTGTTGAATCTTTGACTAATTGTCTATTGGTTCTCTCTCTCTCATTAACGAAGATAAGATTCAGGGAATGAAAAAGAAGATTAAACTTCAATGTAAGAAATCAACTCTCTGATGGATGATTTGAATAAAGGGAAAGTCGACCTTAAGTGGGTGATCACCGAAAGAGATAAGCTGATTAAAAATCTTCAAGACTTTGACGAAGAAAAAAAAAACATGAAGAAAGAACTTGAAGAAATTCATCTTTCTCAAGACAAGAATGTTGACATTATTCAAGTCATTGAGAATGACATTGCTTTATCTAAAACAGAAATTGAAAAATTGCAAAGCGATCTCCAATCCACTAAGCTTGAAGTAGTCAACAAGTTTGTTCATAGTTCTGATGCTACAATAACTCAAGTCAAATTCCTCCACAACGGCATTGATGTAGGTGGTGTTGCCTACTTCAAGAAAATTGTTAATGGAGAATTGGTTGATCCTTCATAAGAGGATTTGTTTTTTGTAGATCTATTGCACCTTTTAATTTCATTTGTAATCATCGATATTAAGCTGAGTACCTTTGTTTTGGGTCACTTTTTTTGAAAATTAAGCATTTACTTTCATATTGCTTGCAATTTTGTTAGCTTTCATATTTACTTTCATACTAAGTGGTATAGTCGATTTTCTTACATGTGCAATAGATCAATTAGTCTGTTATTCAACTTGGCTTACATCACCTTGACAAGTCCGTATCGAATTTGAGATGTTATAAGTTCAAATTAAGGGCACCGGGTTTTGTCACAACAATTTTTCAACAAGAAAAAAGAGATTGGAAATTTATGTTGTGCAGTAATAACAAGGATGAAGGCGCGCATCAGAGTGATGCTTGCCATAAAGAGATTGTCACGATGGAACCTCGTTAGTGCTAGAGTGAAGTGGAGGTTTGTTGGCATCGAAGACGTGTCAACAATGAAAATGCATAGTGTTCATGAGAGAAGACGAAGAGGAGTATCCAAGGATCAAATAAAAATGAAACTTGAAAATTAGATTTTTAAAAAAATATCGATTACTATATTTGGTTTTTACCGATAATCTTTATTTTTAAAATTGAATAATTTAGGAACAAAACATGACTTAGTACGATCTAAAAATAATTAGTTTTACTTTAATTAATCCCTTTTTAATTATTAATAGATATGTTATGAATAATTACAAAACATGCCCACTTTGTTTTTTCTTCGTGAAAATACAAAATGCCTTTTTCTGTTAGAAAAAAATGGCAATTAATAGATATGTTAAATAAATTTGATTGTCCTTTCGAGTTATTTTAATTTATGTCGTTTTTATGCCAATTGTATAAATTTTCATTAAAAAAATCCCTATAATTCGACTACTCGTTGAAGGGAATTTTGTAGAGTTAATATAATAATCACATAGTAAAATTAAGAAAGTGGGTTTCGATCAGTAATATTATTAGACTAAGAATTGAAAGTGTGCCAATTGTACTATTTTAATTTAGAAAACTGTTCTTGATGTTTGATTATGCCTCAATAAGTGTTCAATGAGATAAAGGTTAGGCAGATCCATTTAAAATGAGTTATTCAGTAGAAATTGGGTTAATTATAACGTATCTATAATAAGTTATTTAATCCAACCATTTGTATTAAACACGAATGCGCGAGACATTTTTAAGGTTCTTTCTTAATAATATCATTTTTCATTTTTTATCTTTTAATTTTTTATTATATTTATTTATAAATTAAATTGTATTATTTTTAAATTAAAATATCAATAATTAAAATAACCTTTCAGTATAATTTTATTTATATATAATAAATATTTAATATGTGAAATATACAACTAAAATATTAATTATAAATTATTAATATAACAGGTTAGTTAACTATTATAATAAATATTTTACATTTTTGACATAAATTTTTTTTTCATCAATAAATATTAATTGTTAATTGTTACGAGTTAGTCCATATCAGTCCAACTCTGTCACTCGTGCAAATTACTAGACTATCTTATAATTCCATGATTTTTATATGTAATTGATAGTATAAAAAGTTCATATTAAAAATAGTAAAAATTAAACTCAATACGATACATGTTACATGATCTTAAAATATGTCTCTTTTTCCTTTTCTGGTTAAATTTGTCATGTAACAAACAAACGTGAATAATGTTTTCTCGACTTAAAAATCTGTTTGACCACAACACAGCAGACATTTCCGCCTACAAAAAAAATATAAAAAAATCACAGAATAGTGTTGAAGAACAATAACTCTTCACTTTCTGCTTTTCTTAATGCACATATTTACTATAATGATTTTACGTTTTCCTTTTAAATCCAAACATAATTAAAATGTTGATAAAAAGAGAATTTGAATTGAAAGTTGAAGTGCATGGTAAGAGATAGTAATAGGGTGAGAAAACGTTGTCGGTCATAAACTCAAAATCAAAAAAAGTATTTCATTATCACGAAAATTAAACCAGGGGGAAAGGATGACGTTAACGTTAACCCAAAAGATTGGAAAGTGGAAGTGTTATAGGAACATAGTTGTCTAAAAACTTAGGATTATTGCTGAAAAAGATGATGGAACTGAAAATCTGAGCCATGAAATAAAGACGTTTAGAAACCCACTAGGCCACATAAACATTAATTACAAGGGACAAATAAAAGGACAAGAACAGCAATGTCAGACTATGCTGTTTATTAAATCTCTCTTCATCTCTTCATCTTAGATCTCGTCTGACACTACTCTTAAGATCCTCTGCCATTTGCCAAAATCCTCCAAACTCCGTTGCTCTCTTTGGTCACTCAGATCATAGACCAACTCTGCCATACTCATTCTTTATGTGCTTTTACAGCTATACTTGTTTCTGAATCATGCCACACTTTTGAACTCCAAACGCATTCGACTAGGATTCAAGGTACAAAGTACCACCACGCCTCCATATTCTTTGTACTTGCATGAAAACTATTTGGTTTCACTTTCCAAGGTACATTTCTCAGATGCTTCTTCCCATACCCTTTTTAACCTTTATGTCAATTTTGTTCTTATCCAATAGTATATGCTTCTGCAGGGTGTAAAAAATATATAAATTCAGGACTGAGGTTGTGTGCTAGAAGCAAAATCAAGAATTTTGGCTGTTGATGTGAAGCATAAGGTTTTGTAAGATAAAGGGGTTGCCAAATGATGGTTAGATCGTGTTGGAAGCCAATTGCTGATGGTGATGAAGGAGATGGGAGTGGGAGAGTTGATGGACTTCTTTGGTACAAGGATTTAGGGAACCATCTTTATGGGGAATTCTCAATGGCTGTGGTTCAGGCCAATAGTTCATTAGAGGATCGAAGTGAACTTGAGTCTGGACCCTTGAGTTCCAACCACTCGGGTCCTCTAGGAACCTTTATAGGTGTTTATGATGGCCATGGTGGAAACGAGGCATCACAGTTTGTTAGTGACAATCTCTTCTGCAATCTCAAAAGTATGCTTTTCATCTCTATCATGAAAATATAGACTCAAATTCATTCAGAATATTGTCTTTCTAGATTTTGTTTCATGCAGATTTTCAAATGAATTGAAGGCTACAGATGTTAGAGATTTCACATCCACTACTAAGATCAAATTAGTATATCAGTTTCGTAAGATTTAGAGTTCGGCTCCAATCCACTTAAGAATGGAAGCCAATCCATGTATTTCAAACTCTCCAATTAAAAAAAATAAAAAAATCTTTTCACAAAATGTCCTACTGACCCTTCAACCGAAAATTAAACTTGCTATGTATATATGAGCCTCATGCACTAGGCCACTGTTTATTTTTCAGTTTGTTACTTCACTGAATCCATTTGTGTGATCCAGGGCTTGCAGCTGAACATCAAGGTATGTCAGAAAGTGTTCTCAAAAAGGCATATTCAGCAACAGAGGAGGGTTTTCTATCTCTTGTGAAGAAACAGTGGCTGAGTAAGCCACAGATTGCATCCACAGGCACTTGTTGTTTGGTGGGGGTGATTTGCAATGGCATGATATATATTGCAAACTCTGGAGACTCCCGGGTGGTGTTAGGAAGATTAGAGAGAGCAACAAGGGAAACAGAAGCTTTACAACTATCTACAGAACACAATGTTAACCAAGAAACAGTGAGAGATGAAATTCGGTCAAAGCATCCCTTTGATTCACAAATCGTGGTTATGAGACAAAACGTTTGGCGTGTGAAAGGCCTCATACAGGTACATATTTGGTAGATCTATGTTGCCTTTTGTCACTAAGGAAGATTTTAAATTGTAGGTTAACATGTTTTTCAGCAAACAACACAAAAACAGCTTGCTTTGTATTATTTCTTAAGAGAAAGATTAATGAATCATTGCTGCCACTGCACAAGACCAAAGCAAGAACAAACATAGTTAGATGTAGTTTCTTATATCTTTTTACTGATGTTATCTAATTAAAATTGGAGTTTTATTTTGATAATCTGCATAATGAAAGTTTGCTTCGAAGATTAACATAAGTTACCAAAATGAAATTCGATTATGATCGAAGAACAATCCTAAAAGCATCTAAGTTTTGTCTTAAATTTATGTCTAGAATTTGATGTTAACATGACTTGAGTTGGCAGGTTTCACGATCCATTGGGGATGCATATCTGAAGAAAGCAGAATTTAACAGGGATCCTCTACCATCCAAGTTCAGACTAGCAGAAACATTCTTCAAGCCAATTCTTAGTTGTGAGCCATCAACATCATCCCACGTACTCCATCCTGATGATCAATTTCTCATATTTGCTTCTGATGGTTTATGGGAGCATGTTACCAACCAAGAGGCTGTTAACATAGTCAGCAATAACCCACCTAACGTAAGGTTCCACTAATTCTTTCTGTTCATTCAAGGTTATTGCTGTTCTCTTTGGTATGAATCCCTTTTTATTTTTATTTTTTTAATCATATTATTGATATAAAATATTCACCAATTTTGTGATAATTAACCGGGGAATTTGGCTAGCCACTTTTATTAAGATCCTTTTTTTTAACCACGAACTTGCATGAACAAGACTCAAACTTGGTTTTGCTTAAAGGAATCAATCCATCGCTACTCAGACCAATGTCTTATTAGTTGAGCACCTTCTTTTCTATTCTAACTAGTGTGGTTGACATACATTTGTTTCATGTAACAGGGAATTGCCAGAAGACTTGTGAAAGCTGCACTTAGAGAAGCGGCTAAGAAGTGTGAAATGAGACTTTCTGACCTCCAAAAGATTGAGCAAGGGATGAGGAGACACATCCATGATGATATAACAGTGATTGTGGTGTTTCTAAATTCCAAACTCACTGAGAATACCTCTCTCTGTGGTTCTCCTCTTTCAATCAAGGGAGGTGGGTCTGCCAATTCCTAGAATGCTACCTTATCAAACAAAAGTAACAACTTATATATATATATATATATATATATATATATGTATGTGTAGATTAATATGAAGCAATAATCATCACCATAATAACCAAAGTTTATGATCTGGGTAACGCGAATGCTATATTTATATAATGATTGTAATCACTGCTCATGTTTCTTAAGACAACGAATCTAGGCCTCAGGTCGTGGTTCAAACAAAGTCAGCAAGGTTATGCGAGTGAATAATCGCAAAGCTCTGCATATTAATTAATAATTTAATATATCTGCGTCTACTTTGTACAACTGAGATGTTTCTATAGTAGCTTGTATATGACTTTTTCTTTGACAGAAAGGTAATGTCAGGTATTTTAGAAATGCTCGTTTCTTTTCGTCCATGATATATCCATCATTTCCTTAACAATAATTCTTTTCATGTATCATGCATTACCATGGCCAACCAAAAAGAACAGTTAAATCATATAAATATATAGCTATGTAAACGCTCCTTGCAGTGTTCAGGGAGAAATTAAAACCGCGTGTGAAGCTAAATCAACAAAAATGTAGGTAGATCCCACCAAATTCTATAATTGACAGGGGCCTCTCTTATAATTAATATTAATAACTTTTCTTAGGAAAAAAATCCTTGATATCTCATTTACCTTTGTCCAAACTCCAAAATTACTTTTTAAACAAGAGTTTAATACCCACGTAATTACACCGTTAATTAATTAAATATTATTATTAATACCCATTATCTTAAATAATCACTTTATATACAATTTAGTTTCTTAAAGAAATTTTATTTATGTGATCCCTCAAATATCAAATGCCAAACAATTTAGTCCTATCCATTTGTTCCAAATATTAACAACACATACTTTGGTATATCTTTTTCAACACATTATTTATTATTTGGATTTAATGCATGTGAATCCTAGTGAATGACTGTATATGTCCCATTTTCTATTAATGAATTTCACTATCCTAATTAATAATGAAAAGAACATGTTATGCCAACATGCAATTTTATTTATACATTCAAAAAATTGAAATGAATTAAAAAAGTTTCCATGTCTCAATTCTCAAATTCAAATCCTTTTTCAATTAACAACTTTTAATCTAAAGTTTCTTAAACTAAGAGCGTCTCTTGTCATACACAGAAAAGAGAGAGAGAGTCTCTTGTGAAACTTTACACAGCTAAAAGCAAACAAAGATGCATTAGAATACGCAAAAAATAATTATGAAATGTTGCATTTCTCATATAATACACGCGGCTACATGCGATATTTACTTCGAGAAAATAGTGCATCCAGTGTAAGGATTTATTTTAGAAATTATATTTATACAATTTTTTATCGATTGAAATTGTATTTTTTTTTTCGATGACAATGTCTAAAAATTATATTTATAAGAAATATATTTTACGATTTTGTTAAAGTTTCTCAACGTTTAACCAAACTTATTTATAACTTAATTTTTACTAATAAGCAAATCCAAGTCAAATACATTTGTATAATTTTTTTAAAAAAAATATATGAATAGCTTATAATTATCAAGAAATAAAAAAAAATTAAAACGCTAACTCAAGAACTTAAGTAGAGTTTAAGCGGGGTATTTTTTTTAGTAGGTTGCTATTTGTATTTATTTTATTTTATTTTATAGTAGGTTATTCTTACTCTCTATTTTATCATGGTTTACTTTTGTTCTCTAATTTATTTTATTTTATTTTATATTTACTTCACAAATTATCAAGAAAAAACGTAAATAAAGTGAAATTAGCATCGCTCAAAGATTAAACTCAATTTGTTCTATTTTTATAGGGACTAGTTTTGTATAGAAAATTTTGGAAGATGAAAACTAAATTTGAAAATATTTTAAATAGAATAAAAATAATTTTTTATTTATTACATGTATTTTCATTGTTATTTAGGACATCATCATTGATGAATTTATAAAATAATAATTGACCTTAACATGTTATAGTTTTAGAGGGATTTTGAAAGTTAAGTTGGTCTCTGAAATAATTAGACCACAGATAAGCTAGTTTTAGCTTCATGAGGGATATATAAGGTTTTTCTTAAAATAAGAGCCTCATATGTTCAAGTTTTAAGAATTTTAGAGAGAAGTTAGTGAGAGACTTGGTGAAGATTTATATCATTACTCTTGGCAAGCGGGCCAAGCTTTGTTATAGTAGTACAGTATTGTCCTCAAGGATTTGTGGTATTGATAATTCCTATTCTAATGATTTATAGAGTAAAATCAATATAATTGAAAGTTGATTCAATATGAATTGATTTAGCACAACAAAATAAAATTTAGAAGAACAATTATATAACGAGTGAATTGGATTCAGTTGTACTTGCTAACTCCTAAATCTTCTTTAAACAAATATGATTTCAATTTCTTTCCTTCCACGTTCATTTAGTAACTCAACAAGATTCCTCAAAGTTGAACACTAAAGTGATTAATCTTAAACATGATTCATCTATGCTTTGAGATTAAAACTTTGCATTAAGAACAACAACTTGAACAAAGGTAGTTAATCAAATCCAGTCTATTCCTAGATCAAGAGGTGACTAGGTACATGATTCAGTTCGGGTTTTCAAAAATATTTTCCAACAGGATTTGAAAACCAATAAATCATATAACAGGTGATCAAACCGATATAAGCATTAAGAGAAGAATCAAGCACAAGTAATGAGAGTGAAATGCATATATAGTCAAAAAGAAGAAGAGTTAGTAGTTACACCGGATCTAATTCTAAAGAGTTCAGCCACTCATGGTGAGGGCCATTATAAGATCAAAGGAGAAGAAAAAGAAATTACTAAGAAAAAGATGAAGAAAAGGAGTTGATCCTCGTTCCCAAGAGATCCAACCTCGAGATCTTCTCTTCAACTATATTTTTCCCTTTTCGTGGGCTCTCCTCTGTTCTCTTTGTAATGCCCTTTCTCTCTCCTCATTCCCCCTTTTATATTGGCCTTTAAAACAGGGGAAAAATCCACATTTTAATCCCATCGCTGCAGTTGTGAGATCCACAGCCATGGTTGTGGAGAATCCTTCATGTTTAAGTAATCTTCATGGTTGTAGCTGTGAAATCCATAGCCATGACTGTGGAGAATCCTTCATATGCTTAAGTAGTCCCAGAGTTGTAGCTGTAGAATCCACAGCCATGGTTGTGACTCTCTAGACCTTTCTCTTGATCTCCAGTACCCCATGGCTCTAGCTGTGAACCTACAGCCATGATTGCAAGTCTCTAGAACTACCTTTTTCACTCCAGGTTTCCACGGCTATGGCTGTAAAACCACAGCCATGGCTGCAAGTCTTTGGTGCCTCCTAATTGCAATCTAGATTCTCACGACTATGGCTGCAAAACTATGGCCATGGTTGCAAAATTTTGACTTCCACTATTTCTACAAAAAAAAGATAAAACTTTTCATTAAATTCCTACTACTCTTCTAACCTTCTTGTATTAACTTGGTTTTTCCTATTTTGGGGTTAAATATCATCAATATATTTACAAATTTATCCAAAAAGAGTGTCAAATACTCAAGCAAAATCATGAATAATAAGCACTCAACAAGACTCTCTAGAACTCCAAATCTTCTTCTTCTTTTTTCCCCCTGAGAAATCTTTCCCTTCTCATTCTTTGTAGCTAATCAATGTTGTTGAGTGGGTAATTCAAAGCTTGCAGAGCTTAGGAAACCCCAAGCCAAAAATTGTTTGGAGGCGATTCTTCTCTTCTCCTCTTACTGATTCGATTATCCAATAGGTAAAGGAAGCTTGTGTTGACTGTATTTGATATTTGCTACCTATAATCACTAAATTCATATTATTATTATTGAATTCGTTGGGCTAGTGAGTTATGGAGTTGGGGTTTTTCTTGAAGTGATTGTGTTGAATGTTGTGATCTTTGATTTTAGTGATTGCATGTTGTAAATGTAGTTGTTTCTAAGCTATTTGTGATGCTTGAATGTGATTTTGTATAATACATGTTGGAAATTTGTTGAATTTTAGGTAAATTGACCCAAAATCATGTTATGCATAAGTGCAAAACTAATCGCACCAGGAGCCCCTTTAGTGCATCAGGCGTGGTTTCAACCAATGGTTTTGTCTCACTCACGTTGGTGCAAGATTGGTGGTATCAAGTGTGAGGAGAAAGAATCATATAGGGTTCAAATTATGTTGGAAGACAATTAATGGAGTGACGTTGGTCGTGATTTGTGTGGGGACCCCTGCATGTTGGGGTCGAGTGTGGGCTTTTGCCACACCAAGCACAAGAGAATGGACGACTCGCTGTCTCAACCACACTGAACATGAGTAGTTGGCATTGGGAATAAGTGAGACAAGGAACCCTCTACCTCAATGGCACTGTGCATCCCTTAAGTGGCGCTAGGTACAAGTTGCATGATGAATATTTTTTGTTTTAAGTTGTTTTATAGTTGAATGATGATGAATAAGTTGTATGGATGATGATGCATGATGAAATTTAAGCTCTTAAGTTATAAGTTATTAAAATGATGAAATTGTATTATTGTATGATGATGTTATAGTTGTTCATGTTGTTAGGCATGAGATGAAGATACATGTCTTTGCTAAGATACATAAAAACTAAAGAAGAGTAAAAAATGTTTTAGAAATTAGAATACTTCATTGTGTGGGTATATGTTGTTTTACTTTCTTTGTTGCATAGTAATTATACGATAGTAAATATAGTAACCTATCGAGACATTACATAATTTGAGTCTCCCCATTTTGATTCTTATAATTGTCATTTTGTGGGTCTTATATAGGATTTAAAAACTGTAAACTTTATATTTTAATAAAAGAACATAATTTACCAACAAATTATTAAGTGGTATTAAACTTAATTATCTTAATAAAAGGTCTTAAGTTTGAGTTTTGTGTATGAAAAAAATGATTGGAATGAGAGACCCCACTAAATTTGTTTATCCAAATTCTTTGACAAAGATCAGTCATTCACAAAGACGGTAGATACTTGATTATTATAACAAAATTAATTTTATACATTTTGAAATTTTTCTTTGACAAAAAGATCTTTAAATTTTTTTTTCAATTTTATATCTAATTTAATTTTTATTTATCATATATCTAAAATATAATTTATTTTTTAAAATATACACTTATTCAAATCTTAAATATAATTTATATATTCAAATATAATATTTATTTTTATACATAATTTATTTAAAAAAATTATATATAATAAAAACTTGTTTTATAACCTATATAAAATCCTCACTAGCCTAAAAGAAGAAGACGACCTTAGAGATCAAGATTTGCAC